CAATCTTCCTGAAGATGTGAGACAGGCCTCCTCTCTGACAATGTTTAAAACCAGGTTAAAGACAGTTCTGTTTAGTTGTGCAGACAACTGAGGGATTTTATGTTTTTATCTTTAATTTTAATGTTCTGTGATTATTTATGATTTTAATGCTTTCTTGTTTTGTTCAGCACTTTGAGTTGCCTTGTGTATGAATTGTGCTATACAAATAAACTTGCCTTGCCTTGCCTTGCCTCTCTGTGGTCTCTATGTGGTCTCTCTGGTCTCTCTCTATGGTCTCTCTGTTGTCTCTCTGTTGTCTCTCTCTGTGGTCTCTCTCTGTGGTCTCTCTTTTGTCTCTCTCTGTGGTCTCTCTCTGTGGTCTCTTTCTGTGGTCTCGCTGTGGTCTCTCGCTGTGGTCACTATGTGGTCTCTCTCTCATCTCTCTCTGTAAGTAAGTAAGTAAGTAAGTTTTTATTTATATACCGCCTTTTCACTGCAGATCTGAGTCTCAAAGCGGTTTACAATTGTTAATTTTGGGCATTTGTCTCTCACTCCACACAGAGATGGGAGCGGGGTCGCCAGTACAGGAGGCGCATGCCAGAACTATTGGACATATTTTTTGTGGTAGGGGAAACCGGAGTACCCGGAGGAAACCTACGCAGACACGGGGAGAACATGCAAACTCCACTCAGAAAGGCCCTGGTCCGACCGGGATTCGAACCCAGGACCTTCTTGCTGAGAGGCGAGAGTGCTATCCACTCAGCCACCGTGCCGCCCTCTCTGTGGTCTCTCTGTTGTCTCTCTCTGTGGTCTCGCTGTGGTCTCTCTCTTGTTTCTCTTTGTGGTCTCTCTCTTGTCTCTCTCTGTGGTCTCTCTCTGTGGTCTCTCTCTTGTCTCTCTCTGTGGTCTCTCTCTGTGGTCTCTCTCTTGTCTCTCTGTTGTCTCTCTCTGTGGTCTCTCTCTGTGGTCTCTCTCTTGTCTCTCTCTGTGGTCTCTCTCTTGTCTCTCTGTTGTCTCTCTCTGTGGTCTCTCTCGGTGGTCTCTCTCTGTGGTCTCTCTCTGTGGTCTCTCTATGGTCTCTCTGTGGTCTTTCTCTCTGATCTCTCTGTGGTCTCTCTCTGTGGTCTCTCTCTATGGTCTCTCTGTGGTCTCTCTCTCTGATCTCTCTCTGTGGTCTCTCTGAGGTCTTTCTGTGGAGTCTCTTTTTGGTCTCTAGTTACTTTCCATAAACATACATAAATACAAGTGATTATTCAGATCAGGTCTAATCTATACTACTGTAGGTCTAACCCAGGTCTAAACCAGGACTGAACCAGGTCTGGACAAGGTCTTGGCAAGGTCTAGGAATACTTTGGCTTAGACCTGGTTAAAGACCTCAGTCAAAACAGCTCATTTGCATTTAATAAAATCAACAACTTCAAAGACAGGAAGTTTAAACTAGACAAAAGTTTTTACTTCAAATTATTTCAAAATATAAATGTATACAAAAAAAAGGAAAGTCTCTCTGGTCTCATGGTCTTTCTCTCTCAGGCCTCTCAAGGGGTTCTCTCTCCCTGGACTCTAGATCAAACCTTTTAGCAAGAGGGCCACTTTAGCTCATCAAACTTGACTTGGGGCCGACAACCTTGGATTTAAAAAACTGGATTGACTGGATTCTTGAATTTAATGATACGTCCTTATTGATTCACACCACAGCTGCATTCTATTTGGAATGTTGTGACAAAAAAGTAAACGACTGGATTCCAGAGGGTCTGAGATTTAAAACAAGGTATAGAGTGACTGTTTTGGTGGAGCTGAAGTTGGTTGGATGACACTGAACAAAGTGCCTCAATGGCAACTTTGTGAAAGCAGCAGAGGAGGCCCACATGAGTTTGAACATGCCAGTTTTAGAGTCACTTTCTCTGGTCTCCTTCTAGTCTCTCGCTTATTTTTGTTCTTTTCTCTGGTTTATCTCTGGTTTATCTCTCTGGTCTCTGGTTTATCTCTGGTCTCTGGTTTATCTCTGGTTTCTCTGGGTGAGACCTCCTACTACTTACTTTTTCTTATCTTCAGTTGAGCTCTAAAAAACTTTTCTTCCTTCATTTTGTCCACACTGTCCTGACCTTAAATCCTCATTTTGTCCGGGTTCAGACCTGGATTAGACCTGGTTTAGTCCTGGTTCAGACCTGGATAAGACCTGGTTTAGTCCTGGTTCAGACCTGGATAAGACCTGGTTTAGTCCTGGTTCAGACCTGGATAAGACCTGGTTTAGTCCTGGTTCAGACCTGGATAAGACCTGGTTTAGTCCTGGTTCAGACCTGGATAAGACCTGGTTTAGTCCTGGTTCAGACCTGGATAAGACCTGGTTTAGTCCTGGTTCAGACCTGGATAAGACCTGGTTTAGTCCTGGTTCAGACCTGGATAAGACCAGGTTTAGTCCTGGTTCAGATCTGGATAAGACCTGGTTTAGTCCTAGTTCAGACCTGGATAAGACCTGGTTTAGTCCTGGTTCAGTCCTATACAGACCTGGTTTAGTCCTGGTTCAGTCCTATACAGACCTGGTTTAGTCCCGGTTCAGACCTGGATAAGACCTGGTTTAGGCCTGGTTCAGTCCTATTCAGACCTGGTTTAGGCCTGGTCCACACATTATAATGGGGTCAGACAGACTACAATGGGTAAGTTGTATAAACCTGATTTTATGCAGAGGTTTAATCATAAGTCTGCATCAAGTATAATTGTTTTATTTTGTTTATTGATGTATTTAAATAAGCAAAAAACTGTTTTAGTTTCAAACTAACTCACTTAATGAACAATTCTTTAAAAAGAAAAGAAAATGAAGGACAGATTGTGAGCATGCAAGTGTCTTTTTATTGATTATCATAAAAGTGATCCGTTTACATCACAAACAACAAATCACTTTCAACTGTTATGACTCATATAAATATTGATCCAGTTTAATTCACTTTGTTTTAAGTGTGTGAAGTTCTGACAAGAATTTTTATTTTTTTAAATGGTTAAACTTGAGTGGACACAATCTAGAACAGTCTCATAACAGAAACATGGAAGGAACAAGGAGCAGGAGATTTTTAAATTACGCTTTTCCAATTTATTAGAGAATACATCTTATTAGTCGAATAATGACAGCTGTTTGATTTGTATTATTTGATGCTCTGGATCGTGTGAACATTTTTAAAGACAATTAAATGACGTGATATAATTGAATCCAGATTGTTTTATCTTTACTTTCACAACAAGCATCCACAAGAACTGAGATGTGCATTTTCATTTTTTAGTAAAAGTATCTGTACTCTGGCAATGGGGATCAGGTCTGTATTTTTAACAACATACATTTCATTTTATCAGTACAAACTTAACAACAACCACCACCCTTTTTTCCCTTGTCCAAACCATCCCTCAATTAAAATATTTATATTATATATGGATACATTATATAACCTTTTAAAATTGTGTTACTTTGATTATGGCCTAGATTAACAAACAAACAAAAACAAAAACGGGCCAAGAGAGTTAAATTAATTAGAACAACAACAGTTATTCTTGTATAGCCCTAAATCACAACAGAGGACTTAACAAAACCATTGAAATCACCAACACAGATCAGAGAATCAACAGTTAAGACACAAAAAATACACATATGAATTGGTCAATAGGGAGATACCAATGTCCACCACCTAAAATAAATCACTCTGTGGACTGATCGATGTCCATTCTTGGCCTTTTTTGTGAGATTTCACCACCATCCTATTCAAGAAAAAATAAATGAAATTTAAAACTGTTAAGGACAGTTACCAAACATAACCAAAGATCTATGAATATGTGAATATATCCTTCTACAGGCTCCACTTACGGCTACACCCATAAAATCAAACAATGCACTGCTCCAGTCCTGGATGGTCTGCAATGACCTTTGTCAGCTCCTCTTTTCGTTCAGTGCCTGATCTTTAAGATTCCAGTGCAGCAAACTTTACACAGGAAGGCCTCGTCTGGAAGTGGAATCGAACCAAAGACCTTCTTCCAGCTAACGGCTGCGCCACCCAAGTGTCTCCGTCCTTCCCTCATTTGTGACCCAGAGATATTTGACCCAGAGGTATTTGAACTCCATCACTTGAGAGAGGGCAAAACACCGAGCACCATTGCTATTAGGCAAGGCAGGCAGCTGCCTGGGGCCCCCAAACCGGCAGGGGGCCCCCAACACAAGTGGTCGACTTGTACAGGCTACAACAGCTACCTGCAGTGACGAGTTGGCAGATAAAAACTTTTCGTCTGGTGTAAAACTTGCCTCATTCTTTATTAACAGTAAAAACCCTGCCTGGGGACAACTATGTATTATTTGTCATGGTGGTCTATGGTTAAGCTGCCGCACTTGTGCGATGATGACCCAGGTTTGATTCTGGGTAATATTTGTGTATTGGATTAAATTATATATATTATGTTCTATGACAGATTGCCCAAGAACGGTAAAAGGTTTAAACAAGCCGTTTTTTTGCAGATTCTAATCTTTAGTTCCTCAGAGCTAAAGGAAAGATTAGATTATGTAGGATTAATACACGTTGATAGGTAGTGTTTGTAATTAATTATAACATGATGAGCGTAGTGAACAAGTTTATAAAAATACATGCTAAATTATTTCTCATTGCTTTGTGTCACAATAATACTGAAAAATTCACAATGTTCTATGGTAGACTGTAGAGTCTGACAGGCAGGCCCCAGGCCTATCCATTTATTGGTAAAAATAAGACAATATCTACATTTAATTTATATTAATGTAAACAAGTAATAGATATTGAATTTTACCTTTGTGGTGTATTAATACCATTATAATAAGCATTAAGGTTGACCCTGAAGACTTGCCGTAGTTAGCTATTGTGTCTGCTGCGCATGTTATACAAATGTTCAGACTGTAATGGCCTCGTGTCACGTTGTTGTGTTGCTCCCAGAGATCTGCTATATAAAGTGGTAAAACGTGTGCATCGCCTCGTTATTTAAGTACACCACATAATTGGCGACGAGGAAAATTGGTTATGGCGTGCTTTTCCCAAAGACCGGACGAGTTCAAGCCGGAGCATGAAACATGGTCTGCCTACGTGGAGCGCATGGAGCTGCTGTTTGAGGCTCATGATGTGGACGATGGAAAGAAAGTTCCCGTCTTGTTGAGCTCAGTCGGCGCAGCGACGTATGGTCTTCTACGCAACCTGGTTCAGCCTGACAAGCCAAAGGACAAAACTTTTGATCAAGTTGTGACCATTCTACGAGACTACTATGAGCCAAAACCTTTGGTCATCGCCGAGCGATTTAGGTACCGTAAATGTGTCCAGAAGAGCGGCCAGACAGCGACGGAATATGCTGCTGAGCTGCGCCAACTCGCTGCGAAGTGTGATTTCGGGGACAGACTGGATGAAGCTCTACGTGACGGATTTGTCAGCGGGGTCAGTTCTGAAGCATGCCAGTGCAAATTGCTCTCAGAGGATAGGCTGACTTTTGCGAGAGCTGTGGAGCTTGCGGTTAACATGGAGACAGCCCACCGAGATGCCCAGCAGTTGCGGACAGGTGATGACGTCACCGCTGTTCACAAGGTAAAGGGGGACCGGCGCACACTTTCAAAACAAGACGGGTGCTATAGATGTAAAGGAATGGATCATTTCGCCAGTGATTGCTACTACAAGAACGCAAAGTGTCATAAATGTGGCAAAGTTGGGCATATTCAGAAGGCATGCAGGACTGGAGGGCGGACACGTGAGAGGCAAGAGAAAAAGGGGAAGAGAAATTTTGAACGAAAAGAAGGAAAAATTACAGGCTACGTACAAGCTGACGAAATAGAAGATGAAATTCTGATGTTTTCTGTGTTCAGTGCAAGTGGTGCTGGCCGGCGGCCATACAGGGCAACTTTTGAAGTAAATGGAAAAAAAAGTGCCGATGGAAATTGACACAGGAGCAGGAGTCAGCATTTTCTCAGAAAATGTGTATGATCAGTCATTCTCACATGTGCCACTAGAGGGCAGCAGCGTCGCACTGAAGGGCTACTCAGGAGAGACCATTCCAGTGAAAGGACAGTTCATTGCAAAAGTGACTTATGGAAATCAGACTGCTGATCTACCACTGATAGTAGTGGCTGGAGGAGGTCCTTCACTGTGTGGGCGAGAATGGCTGGATCAAATCAGACTGAACTGGAAAATGATTAAAAAAGTCACAGAAAGCACAACCAAGCCCAAGTCAATCCAAGATGTGTTGGATAAATATGCTGATGTTTTCAAAGATGAGTTGGGAACATTAAAGGGCATTAAAGCAGCAATTTCTGTGAAACCTGACGCAGTTCCAAAGTTCCACAAAGCCCGTGCCCTGCCCTTCGCAATGAAAGAAAAGGTAGATAAAGAACTGGAGCGCCTGGAAAAGGATGGCGTCATCAGCCCTGTGAAGCACAGCGAGTGGGCTGCTCCAGTGGTCCCTGTAACCAAGAAGGACGGTGGACTCCGCTTGTGTGGCGACTATAAGGTAACTGTGAACCTGGCTACAAACACTGAAACATACCCACTACCACGCATTGAAGAGGTTCTGGCAGCATTATGTGGGGGGAAGATATTCTCTAAAATCGACCTGGCAGCCGCGTACCAACAAGTCCTTCTAGATGACGAGTCAAAAAAGTATACAACTGTGAACACGCATAAAGGACTGTTTGTGTACAATCGGCTTTGCTTTGGCATTAATTCTGCTGTCAGTATTTTCCAAAGGATCATGGAGAACGTGATGAGAGACCTCAACGTCCTGGTTTACTTGGATGACCTGCTAGTGATGGGCAGGGACGAAACTGAGCATCTGCTGAACCTGGACAGAGTTCTACAGCGGCTACAAGAAAACGGCCTGAGAGTAAAAAAGTCAAAGTGTGACTTTGGGAAAACACAAATCGAGTACCTAGGTCACATGTTGGATGAAAAAGGAGTTTACCCTTCTAAAGACAAGGTCAGAGCCGTGCATGATGCTCCAACGCCCACAAACATCAAAGAGCTCAGGGCTTTCCTAGGGCTAGTGAACTACTACGGTCGCTTTTTGCCGCAGCAAAGTACTGTTTTGGCCCCACTCTACAAACTGCTAAAAGACCAAACAAAATGGAGGTGGAGTAAAGTGGAACAGAGCGCTTTTGATAAGTGCAAAGAAATGTTGACCGGTGACAAGGTGTTAGTTCACTATGATCCGAGCCTGCCGCTTTCTCTCGCATGTGATGCTTCGGCGTACGGAATTGGAGCCGTTATTCAGCACACAACGCATGACGGACAAGAGCGTCCAGTAGCCTATGCTTCTCGTACACTCTCACCGGCGGAAAAGAACTACTCACAGATAGAAAAGGAGGCGTTGAGCCTGGTGTATGGAGTAAAGAAATTCCATCAATATCTGTGGGGGCGGAAGTTCAATTTGATCACCGACCATAAACCGCTGCTCACGCTGTTTGGAGAACATAAAGGACTTCCAACAATGGCAGCAGCGCGCATACAGAGGTGGGCTATCATACTGTCTGCCTATGATTACCACATAATCTACCGCCAGTCAGACGAACACGGCAACGCAGATGGTCTGTCTCGTGTCCCACTGCCGGAGACTGCGGATGTAGGAACAGAGACAATGACAGCATACCTACATGCACTCATCTGTGAACACCTGGAGGGTGTGCCACTGAGTGCACAACAGATTTCCAGGGCAACACGCAAGGATGCAGAGCTATCAAGGCTGCACAGATACATCAAGGAAGGGTGGCCAAGGGAAGTAGCAGAAGAACTGAAAGTGTTCTACAAAAAGAGAGAGGAACTATCTGTTGAGCAAGGTTGTGTTCTTTGGGGTACAAGAGTAGTGGTACCTAAAAAGCTAAGAACAGCAGTGCTTAATGAGATCCACAATGGACACCCTGGCATTGTAAAGATGAAGACCATTGCGAGGCAATATGTCTGGTGGCCACATGTAGACATGGACGTTGAAAAGACCTGTAAGCAGTGTGACAGGTGCCAGTTGGAGCAGCGTATGCCACGCCCAGTCCCTCTACACCCCTGGGAGTTTCCTGGAGAGGTTTGGAAAAGGCTCCACATTGACTTTGCAGGTCCGTTTATAGGTCACATGTTCATGATAGTTGTAGACGCATACTCTAAGTGGCTGGAGGTTTTCAAGATGGCAAAAATAACATCTTCTGCAACCATTTCAAGGCTTCGGAGACTTTTTGCGTCATATGGATTACCAGAGCAAATTGTCACAGACAACGCCACGACCTTCATGTCAGAGGAGTTTCAGCTCTTCATGAAAAGGAACGGTATCCTTCACACAACTGGTGCACCGCGGCATCCAGCTACCAATGGCCTCGCTGAGAGGTATGTTGCTACATTCAAAGCAGGCATGAAGAAGCTGGACGGAGAGGACTTGAATGTTGAGGACAAGGTCTCACATTTCCTACTGCGGTATCGCACAACTCCCAACAGTGCGACTGGAGAGTCACCCGCAGATTTGCACCTAAAGAGACATGTGCGTTCGCGGTTGGATTTCCTAAGGCCAAACATCGCCATGAGGGTGCGGAGGAGGCAGTATCAGCAGAAGGAGGAGCACGACAGTCGGGCTACCGAGAGACAGTTTGATGTGGATGATCCTGTGTATCTACGCAATACTGCAGGTGATAAACCCAAATGGATCCCTGGAGTAGTTACACAGCAGACAGGTCCGGTGTCGTACCGGGTGCAGGGAGAGACAACTGACCAAGTGTACAGACGTCACGGAGACCAGTTGCGACCTCGGTATCCTCAGGAGGTTTCAGACCCAGAGCCTCTAGGAGCAACTCAGTCAGCGGATCAGGAGAGCAACCTTGCTGGGCCAGTCTCCACAGCACCTGCCCCACAACCGTTTACGTTGGACCAGCCTGAGCCGCCTGATCCAGAAACAGTGACTTTGAGGCGCTCGGAGCGTACGGCTAGGCGGCCGTCACGCTACAGAGACTAAATATATACTGGGACTTGTTCAGTTAGTAAAGAGGGTTGAGTTATTTGTAAGAAGTGTATTTTACGTTAATGTTCTATATTAATGCGTTATGTGAAGATTACCTTTAATTTAAGGGGGGAGGTAATGTGGTGTATTAATACCATTATAATAAGCATTAAGGTTGACCCTGAAGACTTGCCGTAGTTAGCTATTGTGTCTGCTGCGCATGTTATACAAATGTTCAGACTGTAATGGCCTCGTGTCACGTTGTTGTGTTGCTCCCAGAGATCTGCTATATAAAGTGGTAAAACGTGTGCATCGCCTCGTTATTTAAGTACACCACAACCTTATTATTAGATATATATTTATACCTACTGTAATATAAACCTTTTCATGTGGTTTTGTGGTCGGGGCCCCCAAGGACTGTGTTGCCTGGGGCCCCGGGATACCCTTGGATTGCCACTGAGCACCACGGCCTCGGTTCTGAAGGAGCAGATTCTCATCCCGCTCTAGTCGCTTCTCACTCGACTGAAAACTGTCCCAGTGCGAATTCTAACTTTATTTTATTTTCTTGCTTTATACAGCTCTCAAAAAACAATGTTATTTTCTCGTTATTGACCTTAAATCAGGTCGTATAAGATCAAAGACGAGAAACAAGAATGTGCTGAAGTTTGAGATCTCAAACACTGAGTGAACAGAACGGAGAGCAAAGGTCTCTGTGGTTTATAGAGCAGTAGATCTCAGGACGTCAGGATTGGAGCGGTGGATTGTTTTAACATTCATATCAATATTTTGCAATTGTGAAGCACATGCAGAAGTAGAAGTTAGTAGAGCTCATTACCTTCTTATTGTCTGGGCAGTTTACTGAAGAGTCACTGTGTTTCTCTGATTTAGTGCTTCAATCTACAAGAAAATATTTTTAGTAGAAACCAAATTATGAAAAACACATTTTAATTGTATTTACCTTTGCATCAACTTCATCCACGGTCAAAATGTCACCATTCATTTTATAGAAATGCATCTGATGAATGTGGATTGGGGGTACCTTATAAAAGACATAGACATGATTAATAAAGTGACATATGGAAAGGCTGATGTCGTGCTTCTGCCAGATCAATGTAAAAATATACCATAATAATTGCTCCTTAAAATAATTGTTATAATTGAGTAATCCATGTCAAATGTTTACATTCCATCAGTACATATGAAATGCATGTCTCTGGTTCTCGTGTTAACCTTAATTGTATAATCAGCATTTTGGTTTCAGTGCAGCGCAGAAACAGCTCTGTGTGAAACAAGTGCTGCAATTTACTCTCGGAGCCACAATTTCATTTGGTTTTAAGTCATTACACTAATCCTCACAAACAGGGGGCCTCATTTATGAAACTTGTGCAGAAATATGTGTACATTTTGGGTGTATATTCCATTTACGCAAGATCCAATGTCGGATTTATGACAGTGTGGGATCCACCCAGTTCTGAGCGTACGCACCTGCGGGTGTTAGTAAATGCTGCGGCTGAATATGAATGTATTTAATGCATCGGTTTTATATAGCGCTTTTTTGGACACTCAAAGACGCTTCACATGTGTCATTATTCATTCACTCCAAACACGGTGGTGATAAACTACTACTGTAGCCACAGCTGCCCTGGGGCACACTGACAGAAGCGAGGCAACCAGTATGCGCCATCGGCCCTTCCGATCACCACCAACCATTCATACACACACCAGACTCATTCTAGGCAATGGGGGTGAAGTGTCTTGCCTAAGGACACAACGGCAGTTTGGCACTTTACAGCCGCAGCCGCCCCACTGTGGCTGGTGTTCCCAGAGGTTAAGTGTCTTGCCAAGGACACAACGACAGTAGTCAGTGGGAGTCGATGGTGAAAGTCTTGAGCGGGGCTTGAACCCACGACCTTCTGGCTCAAAGGCCAACGCTCTACCAACTGAGCTACTTTTATGAAAGTCAAGCCTAGAATTATGCAGCAATCGCCTGTTTCATGCCCGGTTTTTGCGACATGTCAGCAGTTTGGAAGCCTCAAAAGGCCTGTGGCACGTTTGTTTGTTCATGGTTTTGTAAAAATAAATATACGCTATATATTCAGCTGCGTTTTGAACAAATTTGAAAAAATGTTTTGATACATTAGAAAAAAGCCTCCGCTGAAAGAAAGGCTCCTGTGGACTCACCACCTGCAGGAGGATCAGTGAGGGCTGGTGCTGTGTGTACTGGGTGCAGCTCTAACTGCCACCCCCCGACCCAGAAATGATTAAGGGGAAAAAAATGGATGGATGGATGGACAGTACAAAAGTCTTTCTTGAATTGTAGAAGTGAATAAATAAAGAATGAATGAATGAATTCATATATATTCATCAATGAAGCGTCTGCAGCATCTTGTGAATGCACTGAAGCGCTGTACACGAGTGAGCAATACCATAGTCCAGGGGTTCCCAAAGTTTTTAGCCCGCAACCCCCCGTGATAAATGCGCCACGGGAAAGCCTTTGGGAACTATTTTATTTTCTGTCATTAAATTAAACTTTCGGCATTCCTAAAAGTGGACAGAAGTTTATTTTGTGTGTTCTGTTGGTACAAAGCCGTATAATAAGCGGGATAATGTATAGTGCGCAGGTCATTATCGAAAAACAAGTACCTTCAGGGCGGAAGCAGACCCCGGCGCGTAGGTACTTATTTTCCGATAATGACCTGCGTAATACACATTATCCCTTACATATTAGAGTCTCTTCTTAAATTTAGTTCTCTAAGTTTTCACTCAGAGAAAAGGGAGCTGAATATTTTTGTACACCACATATCTTAATTTTTAAATTTTATTTCACTGTTGTCTTTGATTTTTCAATAAATGCTTAAAAGTGTGATCATTACATGACAAACTGCAAAGGAGTATGAATATTGTTGTTACACTGTACATCAAAATTCTGCACTCACCGCCACCTGCACCGCCCCCTGCACCGCCCCCTGCACCGCCCCCTGCACTTCCGGAAGATCAAAATAGAGAAGATTGTGCGAGTGGATTTCCTGCATTATGTTTTCATGTCTTGCAAACAGCAGGTTGTCTGCAATAGAACAAATAAGTGAGGCAACAATGTCAAATATTAAAATATGAACTATCAGCGTTAAAGTCTGGGTCAAACCTGTCTTAGCTCTTTCGTCCACTGGGATCCTGGAGGGACAACATTAGACAGCACACATACACTTTTATTAAAGAGAGACTTTATTTAAAACATGAAGCATATTTTTCTTATCATAAAACACGTTCATAAACAAGTGTGACCCCAAACACCTTGGTAGTGAAATACTTGCATGGTTTTGATGTTCTTGGTCACTCTGTGTTGGTAGACTTTGCTGTGAAGAGCCACAATGGTGTGCCACAAGTCAAACATGTTCCCCAGCACCTGTTGTAGGAATGATCAGATGAAGTTAACTTATTTTATTTGTAATCTATTTATTTTATCTATCTATTTTTCTTTTGGTTACAATAGTATAGTCAGCTAATTAAAAATAGAAAAACTAAAATGAAAATGAAATGGACTCATATCTGTAGCACCAGGATATTGGTTCAGCCTTGTGTTTCTCAGAGTGAGTTCTCAGGGTCTGCTGCTGCTCCAGGAGCACAGAGAAAGGTGTATGTACAAAGATCACCAAACCTCTTTAAACATATACTATTGATTATGCATTATTTTTAAAACATACTGTTCATATTTGCAGTACCTGGACCATGGACTGCTATGTATGAATGAGACATATGGTTCAGTGTCCATGTCTCATGAGTCTTTTAGAGCTACAACAATGTGCTATTTAATATATATTTTTAATTGTTTCATAATTGAGTTAGAGACGGATGTCATGCTTTAGGCTGTAATTTTCATCACGTGAGAGATTTTTACTTTTATGGATGTTTTCAGGTTACAGACATTTTTCAGACCTACAAACATTCACTTCAGGCTCAGCATGGTCACATTCCCCGCCTAAATGAACAATTACGGTAATATGAACAATGTCATTTTGTCTTGCAATAATTTTAATATATTCGTTTAATTTCCTAGATTCAATTGTTGCAATTTAACCTCATATACAAGCTGTTGATTTAAGGCCTGACTATGTCCGTTAATATTTACAGTCTATGGCTATAACCCTCTGCACACAGCACTTCTTTGAAAACATATTCATAGATTTGCTTTAGATTATGCGCTAATAATCGTCGACAGTGAACCACAGTTTCATCACCTTGACACTGAAGCAGATCTGATTCACTCCATTGACCGGGAGAACTTTGGCCCGTTGGATGACTCTGCGATGGTCAAAATTAGCTTCAAGGCCCGTGTTATAGCAATCTCTAAAGGCAATGAATAAACAGTTAAACATGAAAACTAATGATTTGTTTAAGTGGAAAAACAGAAACGTTGAAGATGAAAAGTCTCACCTGGCCACAGAGTCAAAGAGCTTCACACCAACTGCAGTATTTCGGTTGTTCAGGATGTCATAGAGGAAGCGTTTCTCCACTGGCCAACCGTTCCATGGCCCCTGGAAATAACACACCATCAGCATTAGGAGCAGTATGACTGAACCAGTGAAGCTTCATTTACCTCTCCAGTTATCATCTCTTCAATGAATGTCTTGTCTGCCTCATTCAGATTCAGGTGCAGGTTATTTTCAAGTGTTCGGAAAATGACAGCAGACGGGTTTCTATTCTGTAGATTGATAATAAACAAATAAAAAATACAAATAATTATTTCCTTCCAGTTTAAGGGCTCCATTTAGTTTTACAAAGTGTTTAATATTATTGATACAATTGCAGATCTAACCATTTACATTCAAAATACCCCATTTTAACCTCTAACAGAAAGTTAAGTGACTGAATGTCTAACCCAGGGGTGCCCAAACCTTTTGCCTCCAAGGGCCAAAGTAAAAATTTGCCAGTGGGCCGCGGGCCAAATACACCAATATTATGCGTGAAACACAAATAAATGTAAATTTGATCAAGTTCCTTTAATTTTTGTTGAATGATTAAATACATTAATTATTGTCTATCAGTGCAAATCACAGATGAATGAATGAAAACAACACAGTCTTAGTGAAGTGGAGGCTCCAGGGAAATATGCTGGTTTTAGGAGACTACAGTACGGAGGGATTCCGGTCAGAGAATCAGGGTCCAGAGGAGGGAGATTTCTGTTGTAGCTTATTTACAGTTTATAATCAAATATATATAATCATATAACAGCTATAAATTGGGTCTATAATTCAATATTTAAAAAATACAGCACTTAATTCGTTGCTCCGAAAAAGTTACAGACATGCCCTTTAATTTTGGCACAAGATGCAGCCAGATTGTCAGATGCACAATAGAAGTAGCCAATAATAAACTAGCAATAGAATTAACTTTGAACTATAAATTAGCAGCAAAACCAAACATTTGACATTAGAATACTACTTGAAGTAGGTACATCACGTCACAAATGATAAACTGAGACTCAAGAAAACACGAGTAAAGTCTGTTATGTATAAACACAGACATATGGCTAAAGCTGCACAAATCACACATGGTACTGTCTTTCTGGTCATTAACGCACACTGACACAGGCAACAAAATGAATGAATGAAGGCGGCTGCGTGTTGCTCTGGCAACAGCTACGTGTTCAAGTACTTCAATATGTAAAATAGAAACCTAGCACTAGGGGCGCACTTTTCTGCTTGGCTTTCCTATACTTTCCTACAAGCCCAAAAGGCTCATGGGAGATCCTCTCAAATTGATAAAACATAAAATTGCTCAAAATAATAAATGGTAGGCTGAAAAAAAAATGAACATAAAGGTGCCTGGCTCCCAATTGTTTTGATAAGTGTGTTTGATTTAAAAAAAACATTTTAGTACAAGTTGATGTGAACCATGAGTGAGGCGTGTATCTCGATACAACACTCAAGTATCGGAAAACAGCATTTCAAGTGATGAAGATGCACCCGTGTATCTGAAGACATAGTGTGTGCATCCAGCCAGCCTGAGGGACGTAGAGATAGAAACCTTCTATAGATGTGGAAAACGTTCAGTGGGCCAACTTTGGCCTGCGGCCACACTTTGGGCACCCCTGGTCTAACCAAAGATGTTCTTGTGTTTTTGCTCAGAACATCTGAGGCCTGTAATTTGCATTTTTTCCAACTTTATTCTGGTAATAAAATCTAAATTAAATCAAAATTATGGTGAGATGAACATTTTAACTGATAAAGTCATCACACTGATTTAATCAAAGCAGCATTTCTCACGAGGTGATACTGAGTCTTGACCCACCGGTGGGTCATGTGCCTGAATCCTATGAATCTCAAAGAGCTTTAATAATATCTGTGAAAAACCACCCTGACAGCCGTCTGGACCACAGTCATGTCTCCCATATTTGTTACAAAACACTGGATCTGTCCTCTGACCAAAGCTGATGACGTTGTGAAGATCAATCACAGCATTTTAGCTGTCGTGTTTTCAGGGAACGTTTTCAAACACTTTTACTTAAAAAGTAAGAAATACCTGTTGGTCCATCATTACACCATCAGAAAAAGGTGCCCGTCCTAAAAGTAATTCATCAAAAAATTAGAAATTTGTGGTTATCCATCATCACTGGAAATGTGGGTTTGGCTCCTCACCAATATCAAGACAAAGAGCCGCAATTTGCACACAAAGTATGTCTCTGTTACGAATAGGCCTGTGTTCCTCTTGTAGTCTTTTCAAGAACTGTCCGGCTAAGTGCACCACACTGAGAAATAAAAAACAAAAATTCAACCAATTATTTTATAATCTGGACCAGATTATTTATGCTACGACATACCCAAGAGCGTGTTCAAATCTGTTGTGAGATGCTCCGGGGTAAACGAAGTAAGCTGCTCCCTGCTGTTTGATGAATCGAAGTCTTTGGAACTCTGGAGTGTCTATGATCTTGACCAGAGTAGGATGGAACTCCATATGACCGTGGATAGGGTCATTGAACACCTGATGGAACACAATACAATGAACTAAACTCATGCACAATAATGGCTTTAAATATTGTAAATACTTATAATACCTTTGATTGTGGACCATCTGCAAGTTGCCCGGGTATCTATGAGGTTAAAAAAATAAATGTGTATATTTTCATTTTCATTTAATTAGTGTTGAACAAATAAACTGTAGAAAGGAGTGGACAGAGGAGTGGACAGAGGAGTGGACAGAGGGAGTGGACAGAGGAGTGGACAGAGGAGTGGACAGAGGAGTGGACAGAGTGGACAGAGGAGTGGACAGAGGGAGTGGACAGAGTGGACAGAGGAGTGGACAGAGGAGTGGACAGAGTGGACAGAGGAGTGGACAGAGGGAGTGGACAGAGGGAGTGGACAGAGGGAGTAGACAGAGGGAGTAGACAGACAGGAAATGGTGTAGTTACGTGACTCCCATAGAATATTATAAAACAAATCTGTAAGAGTACCACAGTTACAGTGCACTGTGGTATTCTTACAGCTTGGGGATGGACCAATGAGGAGCGACGCCGGCATCAGAACTGTAACAATAGCACATTTTCAGACGGAACGGATCTATCAAAATTGATGATTTACGTGATTTTCAATGTATACGATTGAAGGTAACCACGCACGAGCATTCTGTACAAGGGTAGTCAAATGGTCAAATTTGAAATCACAATTGTTTTTGAGGGGCGAAGATCTACGTGTTATTATGGCGAACTGTAACAATAACACATATTTTTAAGGGACCAAAAAAAAGATCGCTCAATTTCGTAAATGAAGCCATTAGGAACCATTTTATTTGAAAAATAACGAAATACAAGTGTATATTTCTCGCTCAAAATTGTGAAATAAGTTGACTTTAGTCTCTAAATAATGCTATAAACCGCAGTTTTGGACTATAATTATGAGAAATGTCGGCCATTTTTATTTCCTCCCTCGCAGGAAACGGTGTGGTCACGTGACTCCCGTAGAATAACATTGCAATAAAATATGTAAGAGTGCCACAGTTTCAGAGCCCAAACTGTGGTATTCTCACAGTTTAAGAGGTGGACCAATGTGACTATTACACAGTTTTCTGAGAGAGTGGGTTGGACAGTCAGAATGTGCTTAAGATAAAAACCACTCAATTCAAGCAATTTTCACCTCATATTGTATCATTTTTAGAAGTGTATCAACAAAAAATGAGGGAAACGGAATATTGTTACTATTATTAATAATGAATAAACCCCTTTTATGTTTATGTTGATATAAACTGAGTTCTTTTGCGCCGCAGCTCTGGAAGTTCCCTAGTGTGAGAAAAATCTTTCATTGTAATTATTTCCTAATTGGTAAGTATAAGGATTTATTTCAATACTGCATTTTCTTACAGCATAACATAAAAACAAACAAGAGACAGTTACATTTGCAAAATGCAGTTTGAAAAAGGGTTGGACGGAGCGAATGGAGGCTGTAACCGCTCTTTCATACAATACAATACAAATACACACACACACACACACACGCAAAACTCACACAAAACATGAACTGTATAATACTAATACACATGATTTTGTAGAGCACAGTAGGGTCCGCATCAATCTGTATTGTCAGCATAAAACAATAAAACAATACAAAAAAATAATTATTTGTTACTCGTCAATAAAATAACTGTCAACATAATTTAAAATATCAAATAAGCTAAATCTTGCCTTTAATGCTTTAATCATGTGTTAAAGAAGATCTCATGTGATATGTGCCATACCGTGTAATTACAGAGACCACAGGTGAAAACAGCTTCATCACTAAAACTGTTACCTTTACACAAATGTTCATGAATGTGCGGTGTCCGTCTTCAAGTCAATCAATAAATCAAATCAAAATATAGCATTGTTTTCATATTTTCCTGATTGTCAAGTGGCGCTTTGACATTCTCGCATATTTATACACTTGTTTCAAAATGTTTCCATAGCTGAATAAACATAATAAAGTTTTCAGTTGTTAAAATCATGCTTCTGTTACTAGCCTAGCGCTGAAATTGTCCTTTTGTTATTTTAATCGCTTCACAACATGTAGCACTCTAGTCAATATTTGTCAGTACCGTACGTTTCCGTGATTGCGACGGCGGGCAATTACTTTTCAAAATCAATGCCTTCTTTTGAAAACTCAGCTTTGATGCATTTAAAGTGATAGATTAAAAGCCATTGTGTAAAAGTTGGTAGTCTGAGAAACTTCTTACTTTATAATTTTGCCTGTCAAAAATCGTCCTCTCCCGTGTTTTGTCCACATCAAATCAGTATTTTTAACCAACTTCAATGTTTGGTAAGGCACAAATAAATTCCGCGTTTCATTCTCTGCTGGCGTGAGCTGGATATGTATGTGTTTATCGGTGATTAGCGTTAGCATGTGCAAAGGAAAACCGCTACAAAAAAAGTGTTTTATTGGAAAGAGGTGAAAGAACGGCTTGAGCGGCTGCACTTCTGGAATGATGATGTTGTAGAACGTCCCTAGAAAGCTCCGGCTCTAAACAACTATTGATTTGCTAATTGCCTTCACTTTCAATTCCATCGTCCCTTTAGGTGGTATTTAACCCCGGTGACATGCCGTTTTTTAGTGAGGCGAAGAAAAAAAACTTCTCGACGTCTTGACAAGCATTGACTGATGAAGAAGTCGGTTTAGCAGTTACGGCAAAACAAAAAATATTTGAGCGGAGGTTTGGTTTGATGGACATTGTTAAAAACTAGGGTGTTAAAATGTGTTTAAACATTAAACTATACATTGATATATGATTTTAGACGATACAGGATGTTTAAGTTCTCCACCACACATATGCAAAATTGTAAAGTGCTTGGTCAGTGAAATGCTCCTTTTGACAATCCAACAATCAAAATCCTTTCCTCTACTCCTCGACTTTTAAAATCCTCTCCCTCTTCATGTCTTGAATAGTACTTGACATTCACACTCATTCGCAGATTCACCTTTGAAATTGACTGTAAGACAATTTAGGTGTAAAATCCTTAACTACAGTATTGTCAAAGACTTCCACCCGGACAGGATTTGTTGTTATAGTCGGCGCAACACGTGGATAGCACTCTCACAAGAAAGTTCTGGGTTTGAATCCTGGTTGGGACAGTGCCTTTCTGAGTGAAGTTTGCATGTTCTCCCCACGTGTGCATAGGTTTCCTCCTGGTGCTCCGGTTTTTCCTACCACTAAAAACATGTACAATAGTTCTGGCATGTGCCTCCTGTAGACGACCTCGCTCCCAACTCTGTGTGGAGTGAGAGACAAATGTCCACAACGATTGTAAAGCGCTTTGTGACTCTGGTCTGTGAAAGTCGTGTGTGTGTGTGTGTGTGTGTTGGGTTGTGCTTGTGTGGAGTGTGTGTATGATTTAAACACAAAAAATAAAATGACAAGTAGACACGACAGCACAGGAGTGATGTGCTCATGTCGTTTTTAATCCAAATTAAACTTTCCATTCTAGGTCAGGTAAATTGATACATAATCTTCTTTGCATAATCTTAGAAGAAAATTGGTATTTATTTCACCTTTTATTTTGAAAATCACAACATCAGAGGATCAGAAGTTTGCATGGACTATGTGGACAGTGACTAAAATATAAAAAATGACAAGATTGCCTCTGACGCCAAGACAGACACAGGGAGACCCCACACAGAGCGGCCTGAGCAAACACAGGATTGGCCCAGCGAGTTTCCTGCTGTGAAGCATCAGTCCTACCCACGTAGCCACCAGGCGCTGTGCTGGGGCCTGTTTCTCCACCCACTGTGTTCCCCTCGCACTGACGTATGTACCAGAAGCCTCAATAATATTAAGATTGACTTCTTAACAACCGTTCATTTAGAGGCTAAGACTTAATCAATAGTAACTGTTTAGTATGATCTTGTATTCGGCTCCCGGCTGCAGCAGCGCCGGGTCCAGCATGTCTTTATTACATTAACACAGCCTCCTCACTCATTTTAACACTTAACACGTTTATTAACACCCATTAGCAAATGTAGAACATGTGTAACTCACTTTAAACTAAGGGCTTTATAATCAGGGTGTGCTAGTTCATAGGCAGGTCAGATGTGTATTGTTGACAGTGTTTACAGCAGAATTTAAAGATGAATAAGAAAGTATTCAAATAGGATCATAAAGTGCTCTGTTCCTACAGTTGTACCATTCCACACAATCTGTTGGGGACACAATAGTACGTTTCTTAAGTCGTGTGTGGTGTTTCTGTGACTTTGACCCACAAGAAACTTGATCAAAAGAAAGACTTTTCAATTTGATCCTCAAGAAGAATACAAACTTGCAGTGTCACTGGAGGACATGCGGGAGGGAACATTGTGAACATTGTGAGATTCAATCAATAACAACAGATCAGACACAGAGACTTTTCTTTTTGCCATACTATCTCTTATGTCAAAGCAGAACATGCAGTCTTTCTCTGAACTGCTGTGGTCTATGGGAGTCACATCTTCCAAACATGCCTATTAGTTTTAGATACACAATGCAGGCGACAACAAACAATTCAGAACATTTATAAATGATATATTTGACAGGTTGTCACAAATGTTTGTCCACACAACACAAACAGTCGCCCGTGGGTTCTATCCTTAGACTGTAAATATTAACGGACAGACTCAGGCCCGTCTCCGCCGTTGTAACTAATGTACCACCACTTTTGCCTTCTGTGGGCTTTTTTAAAATGGTCCCACCCACATTTGCGAATGCGTTAGCTGCACGAGCCCTATTCATTTAACAAGGGCATTCAAAAGTCCACAGCAGCTGAACTAGACTGGTCCAAAAAATATTATTTAGCATAGACAACATCTAGAACATAGCGTTGAGCCAAGAGCGACTTTTGGACCATTCCGTAAAGCTGTTTTTGAGAAGAAAGAAGGTGTCGTAAAAATGAATTGGATAATTATTTTTTTCGGGTACTCCCCCAGCGGCTAGGAGTCAGATTACAAACATGTCAGCGCACATACCCATGGACCCTGTTGAGCCAGGACCCGCCCCTACTGGCTCTACCCCTTTCCCCACCCATGAGTTAGATACCCCATTAAAGGCACCTGTCTGCAGGTGCTGCTGTGGCTGCTTTTTAGTCTGGTCTTTTGAGGTGGGAAAAAAGCTCCCATTTACCATACCTGTATATAAGTGCTAAAGTCTAGAATCTTTCTTCAGAGCTGTGGTTGCCGTGGTGAACTGTCATGCCGGTATCGGTCCAGTAACCTCCATGCTTGAATTGTCCGATGCAACTTTTTAACACCAGTCTCATTTCGGCCGTGCTTGGTTCAGAACTGCCAAGAATAGGAAGTGTGTTCTGGTTTCTATGGTGAGCCGTATTAACTAACTATGTCAATGCCGGCTAATCTGCAGCTGTTGTGGATGTTTTTGCCCTTTTTTCTTTGTTTTTGTTGTTTGCATTTGCACCAGTTCAGTTTATTAAGCTTTTATTTAAAAAAGAAAAATGCGTGTGAGATTGATATTAAAGCATTTACAGATAGCTAAGAAACATTGAAATGTTATCTTATCCTATTTTCCTCTTTGTTTTGTCTAATCCCCTTTTTTGTCTAAACTTTTAGCAGGATTTCTCTCAATGAACTATTTTCTCCGTCTCTTTCATTCTTTTAATTTGAGCCACTGTCGCCAACATATAGGTATAGCTAAAGATATTTCAGATATAGCTTATTTGTGTGCATTAATAATAAGAATGATAATAATAATAAAAAGTGTGTTTATTTGAGAATCTAGAAGATACAAAAGAGAAGCACAGAAAACCCATTGATCATCTTAAGTTATAAATGACTCATATCTTAATTGGAACTGAAAGCAACATTTCATTACGTTCTTTACCATCCCGTCCTTGCTCTTGACTACATGTTGGTTTATGATTCCAGGTTTTAAAATCTCTTCATTAAAATATTCTCTTGCGGTAAGGTTTTTTGGACAAGATATTACCCACTGGAGAGATTTTACACCCACCATAAATGAATGACGGATGACACTGTTGAGTTTTACTACCTTGGGAGGCCACATCCTGCCCTTCTTTGAACTCATGGTGTTCACCACAAGCCACAAAGTTTTCCTTCATAAAATTTTCTTCCATTGTCTTGTGTTTCACCTTCTTCGTCATGTTCGGGTCTCAGGCTCGGCGATACATTTCTTCATGACATGACATTGCTGCGTATTGTGCTCACACAGAGATTAATCTTTTGTGGATTGAGAATTGCTGTTCGGCCGATCAAAAACCCGGGCGTGACTATTTGCCTCCATGTATTATCTAATGCAAAGACCAGAAGCACATTAGAATTTGAACAAGGTATTGGTATCTGCTTGACGCTCCAAGCCATTTCTGTGACTCACCGCTGACTCTCCACGGCCAAGAAATGCATGGCAGTAAAAACCCAACGATTTACAACTGATTAAGTGTGTGTCGGTCCATCTCACCTCCAGAATCCATTACATAAGGTCATTACATCATTTAGTCATCAGTTTTAGCGTGAAATTCTGCAAGTTGTTCATTTTTCAGAGCCTGTGGAGAGGGGCCCCTGCTGCCCATCTGCCATTGTTTCACATGGCTCTCTGTAATCAGGGTTAGGGCCCTGGGGGGCGCTGTTGATCTGCAACCTCCACCTCCCACTCGCATTCAGCTGCAAACCTCAATGCACCGGTGTAATTATGGCCCAACAGGTCCCGTATGTGCTCTGGACACACTCGGAATAGAGGCAAATGCAGCGCAATGTGTGAAAAAGCCCCTCATCTGTTTGATATACAGCCAACCACAGACATTCAAATATGTCCACAGCCTGTTGGTGTAATCCAAATCAGAGAAAAACAGTTGAGCTAAAACAACACTAGCCTGGTCTTATCCATCCATAAACTCTGGTCAATAATCATTTTCTACATGTACGTCTGGGTCTGATCCTAGTGGCTGTAGTTTCCTCGGTTGAATTTCATCCAACCACTCACCAAGCGGGGGAGGCGGGTGTTGCAGGGAAGTGTCAGTGTCAAGAGTTTGCGCCGAATTTGCTGGTTGTAGTTTGGCGATGATGGCAAATGTGATTGTAAAGTAATCCATTCTGGTTCAGCTCCAAATATCAAAAAATTTAAACCAAAGCACGTTGTGGCTCTACTCCCTACAGGCTCCGTTAGTGGCGAAGGAGATGGCTAAAGCTAAGCTAAATACCTCTCTCACTCGGGCAAATGTCACAGTAAACTCAGAACCGATATTTTCAATCTGCAAAAGGAGTTAAACCCTCCCACCTGTTAACAGACCTCAGTACGAAATGAAATGAGTATGATGGTATGGTAAGACCAGGCTAGAACACTACAGGACACCTCAGGATGTATATCTGTGGTGTCATAACTTGGGCAAGTTCAAGTATGTATTATTAAGTATGTGTATGTGCATTATTGATTTAAATTGAGAAGCCAATATGGTGCTGAACATGCCATGCACACAATTCTGTTCCCCTTTCAATACCAATAGCAGGATATTTGGGCTCAAACTCTCCCCCTCGCAGAAAGCTCCCTGTTGACTACACTTCATCTGAGTTGTGAAGATCCACTTTTGTAGCTGATGAATTCTCTCTGGATTTGTTCTCAGTATTTCTGTGATAAATTCTCTTTCATGCATACTTTAAGTTGCTTGTTGCGAATAGATGGAAGTGCTGAAATGTAAAGTTTGTTCACTCCACACAAAACTGTTCTAACGTGTTACAATTGGGACAATGACACGAAAAAGTCCCGAAATGTCCGAGGCCAAATGTTCACAGACTCTTGTTTTGTTCCTTGTTTGCCCAGTGGAGGGCGCACTACTTAAACACAGATTCGTTCACGCCCGCAATATTAGCATCGGTCTGGCCGTTTTTGATTTAACAACCAGTGGATGCCTTGTGTTACGTCCGAAACACCCAGTTAGTCTGCAGTTATAGAATCACATTTTTTTGCATAATGTATAATCTATAATAACCCATTGTCCCATTGTCTGTTTCATGGCGCAACGACGACCCGGCCCCCTCCATCTACACCTGCGGACTGCCCTGCCCGACCCGCCTGGGAGCTGCTTCAGTCCTGCACCGGACCTGTCCACGTTCTGCGGCCGCTGTGTGGCCCTTTTCCTCGTTCTGTATTTTAGGTCCTGGATCTATAGCCCGTCCGTCCGAGTGGAGCGGATCCCTCTCTCCATGGAAAGAGGGATCCGCTCCACGAGGATCTCCTCAAGGATCTCGTCGATCCCCTCAAGGTTTCTCAGATTTTAGAGTTTTAGAGAACTGTTGATTCTCTGATCCGTGTTGTTGATTTCAATGGTTTTGTTAAGTCCTGCTGTTGTGATTTAGGGCTATACAAGGATAAATTGCATTGTATTGTTTTGTAAAAAAAGTTTTTTTCGTTTATATATTCCCATCTATTAGCCATGTTCATAGTCTTCTCTGTTCTGTTCATTCTTCCATTTACAAAGCCTCCAACATGACATGTGCTGAATGTTACAATTATGTCCGCAAAGTTTAAATTGTTTTTTGTTGTTATCTTGAAATGGTTTTGAGCCCATCTGAGATTTCCCTGTGTATATTTATAAACTACATAGTCTTAAAGAATTATTAGGTACAAACATTTTAGGCTCATACACTTATTTTATTGCCGCTTTAAGTAAGATTGACACAGTGTTTAGTCTAACGTGGAGTGAGGCAGTTACGAAACACAGACGGCCCAACCTCGTCACGTCAAGGCACTCAACCTCATTGTTAAGAACCTTGGATGCGAACCGAGGGCACAGTTTGGACTCTTTCATCTCCATCACCGGTCTTGTTGGGCCGTCAGTGCACACAGACTCACCTGATGAAGTGTGATCCTGACACTGCACACGACGGAACACGCACTTGCCAGCCGAAGAGAGCAATGGCATGCAAATCAATGCAGAGCCCTTGATGTGGAGCAGATGGCCCGAGGAAGGCACCGACCTGGCAGCTTACTTCCTGATGATTATTCCATGCCTCACCTCTCCTCCACTCTTCACAAACATCTTCATTTCCCCTGTCTTCGACCTGCTTTTGCAGCTCAAATGCCGTTTTACAGAGCTGTAATCTTGGTCTTTCGCCTTCTTTCATCACCACGCCATTCCTCTTGACTCCTTCACGTCTGATATGAATAATCAACAACAAGCAAAGAGCCCTTGAAATTCTGTTTTTGCCAGTAAAGGGGTAAACATCAGCGAGATGTGCGAGAATGTTCAAAGCAAAGAGTCAAAACAGCGCTGCAGACAGAGTGTTGCTTTGTTGGAAAATATCACATCCATAATGGGTTTATTTGATTTATTTAAAAAGGGAAGTTTGTGGTAGAATGACTGTTGCGAAGACATTCCATGAGAGCAACACATGACTATCATTAAAATATTAAACTTTTGACAAGTTAATTAATGTAAAGATTTAAGAAGCCAGATCCCGTCAGACCTCTGAAGCTGAGCAGAGCAGGGCCTGGTTAGTACTGTGATGGGAGACCGCTGGGAACACCAGGTGCCACAGGGGCCGACATCAGTCCTTGATGTCGGCCCCTGGACTAGTCTGGTGAACTAAAGTGGCCCTCTTACTACAATGTTTGGACACCCCTGGTCTAAAGGCTGCTGTCTCATGGTTAAATTGGGTTTTGAAATTTCTTAGGTGAAAGAATGTTATTAACAATCATATGGCTGTGTTTTCTGTCATTTTCAAATTTTATAAACTCCCCTCTAGTGGTTGAATAGGGAGTCACAGGCAGAATGTTTTGTTTCCCCTTCATACATTTTCTACTCAATATATTATTGCACCTTATAAAACATGAATTATACAGTACCATTATCATTGTAATGACAAAAAACCACATATGTATTCTTTAAAGATGTCTGAGAAGAGTAGGATTATGATGATTTATTCTTGTTGATTGTAACTGGCCTCATATTTTACATATTCATTGAATCCACATTGAAGAATATACACATATAAATAATACAAATAATAATATAGATTAAATAGCCAAACCTCCTGCAAAATAAATAATTCACATTGAAATCTATAAATTAAACAAGGATTAATATTTGATGTGAATAAACTTTTCATTTGGTCCTGATTAGTGACAATGAAAATCAGACAGTTTGTAAAAATCAATCATCTCCAACCATTTTAAAGCACAATAACCCATGAACACATTATAATATTAACAGAACAGTTATGTATGAAAAACACTAATTTACATCTCCCGAATGACACAATATGAGTCAGAGAAGGTTGTGAGTCAACTTCAGAACATTTTGACATGTTTTTTTCTGAGAACATGCATTTTAATGGTTGCAAGTGACAAAAAACCTCATTTGACTATTACTCAATCAAAGAAAAGTCTGGATTTTCCAACAGTTTGACATTTAAACATTTACGTAACCTTAGGCATGATGTAAAAGTCTGCAAGAGTTGTTTGAAACTGCAAAAAACACAAACTTGGCAGTGATGTCTCTCTCGCACAAATTCCCTCAAGAGCAACATCAGAACAAAACTATTTATTTTTTATCTTGGAATAAAACCCATTCTGTTCTTTTTCAGGGGGCGACAGTGGCTCGGATGGTCTGCAGATCAAATCCCAATCTTGGTTCAGTCCCCCCACAAGACATGTCACCGACTCCTACTGATGTCTGCCTCTATTGTCCCCCTCAACCCAGAAATGAACAAGTAGGAGGATGACAATATTACATGAATGAGTGCAAATTGCTTGGAAAAATTCTAAATATTTTTTGTTTTGTTCATTTATTAACTCATTGACTGGGATTGACGTACTATTTTTATTTATTTATTTTAGGGCTGTCAAAATTATCGCGTTAACGCACGTTAATTAATTTTTTTTCATTGACGCATTTGACGCATGCCCATGCGTCCCATAATAACACTCAGAATGCCGCGGACACATGCGTGTGTAAGATGGGGACAGAGCAGGTAGGCGCTCTGGGAATTCAAGTTTTGAAAGAATACACTTGTTGTGTCCTGTATGAACTCTGCATGATGAGCTGCGGGCGCCACAGCGCTCTGGACAGCAGGTCCCACTTCCAGCGGCTGTGATCACGGTGAACGGCGCTGCGTAATGGGATCATATCCAAGACCACGCACAGAACTATTACAGAACTATTCTCTAGTGTGCGTACGTGTCTTTGCGTAACCGATGCACACAATATGTACAGCGCTGAAGCTGGACTGCGGAGCCTCAGTCTCCTCCGTGTCTTCTCCCAAAGCGCACTCGCTAAATTAAAGCTGAGGTACCTAATTTTCCTTTCGACCACCAGTTCATGTTAGTTGTGCCAAAAAATGAAATGTCCCTCATCCGTCACAAACAATGGTTTTGGTCTGAGTCTAAACAGAAAGACAGAATGTTAATGCCATTTTATATGGATGTATTGTTATAATAAACACATACAGTTCATATGTTCACTAAGCTGTCATTTATCTATCCATTCAAACAACAATTTACAGAAAAATATGGCATAATTTTGCCAATAGTTTGAAATGCGATTAATTACGATTAATACATTTTTAAGCTGTAATTAACTTGATTAAAAAAAAGTATCGTTTGACAGCCCTAATTTATTTATTTATTAGTTTATTTGAATAGGGACGATACACATTAATCAACGTTTCTGTAAATGTGTCAGTATTAGCTAACAGCTAGTTTCCAACTGTAGTCCTTGGCAAGGTGTAAAATGCCATCAAAGTGCACTGCAAACTTGTCTGAGACTGGTGATTTCTGTCAAAACTCCCTGTATTCTCCTGGGGATTACAGGAGAACAAAACTAGCTAGAGTCAATGAGTTAATTTGTTCTATTTCAAACATTCACAATATAAATATAGAACCTGGGTCTAGTGTGTAAAGGCATTGGTCAAAAGCAAAAGGCTTGAACAACGCTTTATGATATATGATTGTGAAAACAGACACTATTCTGTTTGAACGTACCACATGGTAAAGAGAAAACACTAAATTGACCTCTGCATCTACAATAATGAGTCTGAAATGTCCAGTCTCAGCACAGGTCTTAGTTCAAGACACTTAGCAGCTCCTAAAAAAAATATCAATATGCAATAATGCTGATGGAGCAGGTCATAGCAGTCCTCAGCCACTGGAGACCATTCAAAGCCATGTGTGAAAATGAACATATAGACCTCTTAATCCTTCTTTATGAAATTGTGTTTGAATGACACATCACAAAGAAAAGATTGAGGTTCTTGCTGAAAACAGAAAAAATTACTTTCCTTTATATTGCATCAGCACATATTGGTTTTTTCCAAGGCCTTGAAAACAAAAGAAAATCAGCATGGAACAGCTGCCGTTCAGACCCAGTGGTTTTTGTTTGTTTTAGTCAATAAATACATAAAACTCCTCAAAATGACTCTGCAGATCAATGATAATGAGGAAACCAAAGAGTTGTTTAACCCTTTAATGATTTTGTGTCCTCAACCGTTTAGTGGTTCGTCTTTTGAGGCTGTATCTTGAAGCTTGGGACTGAAATGTACCTCGTTGGGGCATCTCACTTGGTTTTAGGCCCTTTTACCATCAAACTGCAACTCGACCAGTTGGTAATGGCTGATCATAAAAAATAGGGTTAAAAAAATGTCAAAACAAAATCATGAATGCTCTTAGAAAATTTAATAAAACCACATTGCTTTCTTCAAGGAGTGAAGATTAAAGGGTTAACGCTGTATTGGGTTGTACTTCAGAGTTTGTATTGGTTGAAGATGATAATAACACTAGTATTTTTGACTTCAGTAGAAGCTTCTTTTCATTCCACTCTCAGTAACCACCAAACACCAAACGAGGCCTGAATCTAACCCCGATCAGAGCCAACTTTTTGGGTGTTCACCGACTACTGATCCAGCCAAGAGTTGGGTGTGGAATGGAGACGAGAGCAGAGAAAACAAGTGCGGAATGAAAATGTGCTGTAGCAGATACAGAGTAGATAATTCATAACCCTGTGACTCTTCTGAGTAAATGTGAGAGGGCGTGCACTGAGAGTCATCTTTATCAAACTGAGATATGATTTGCCATGTGTTTTTAGACAATGGCTTCAGGGTTGTGCCAAAAATTAAAGGAGCAGTATGTAAAAATCTGGCCAAAAGTGGTACTGCAGCCTTTCTTTCTCGCCCTGACCCAGGTTGCCAGATATGCAGACGAATCCATTTTGGACCATAATATCTGAATAGACAAGACTTTTCTCAAGAACGAATCTATAACCAACATCTTTTTCACAAAGATTAAAATCCTTTTTTTTTTTTTCCTTGTCAATAATGATTTGAGAATCATAATAAGACTTTTTGTTAGTTCTGCGGCCACATGGTACTTTACCGGTGAGTTCTGGCAACCCGAATCACGGACTTTCTGATTGGTGAAACGGTGGGGGGCAGGACATCGAAATGACAACAATAACAAAATTTAGGGGCTGTAAATTAATTTTGAAATCCAAAAATCTCTGAACTACTGTTATCAGTTAAAGAAGTATTGGAAAAAAGCATGTTTCATTAATGCCTTTGGACAGATTAGGGCCCTTTAATGATGATTTGACATGAAAATCTGACATATTGCTTCTTTAAACATTTCTCAACTCAACTGTGAGTGGCCGTGCACTGATTAAAGAAAATACTGGATTAAAGTAGAGTAACTTTTAACCTGTACCATACGATCAAACATGGCTCATTCTTTTGTTTTAGAGATTTTCAGCTTGCAACACTTACATTGTGTTTGTTCGTTTAAAATAATAATATGTATCTACAGTATTCGTGTGTAATTTAGTATTCTGTCTAAATCTTTGGATAAACAAACAAATAAGAATATTCCAGTTAAGTCCATTGGGCCAAAGTGATCCATCGGCGTTTGAGACTGGACGCTTAAAAGAAAAAACTTCTACAGAAACCTCCAAATATTCACAAGCAGAATTAAAAAATACATAAGATGAAGTATTAATACCAGTTTAAAGTATTCATTCTTGATAGAAATCCTACCCTTGAAACGCTAAATATGTTTTCC